CTTTATTGTCATTGTTCAAAGTACATGTATTAAGCCAATGAAGTGCAGTTAGCATCTAACCAGAAGTGCATAAGTGGCATATTTACAATAAATTACGAATAAGGATATATAGCTATGAGGGTGATATGTACAGGGGAATGGATGACTTATGTACAGGAGGTGCAGTAGGTATTATAAATAGGGATAAATGTGATCTATATATGTATGTACAATTAGTGTGCAGTGGTGAAGACATGTTAAGAATATAATAGGAATGTGAACAGGATATACAAATGAATATGTACATACATACATATTATATATATATATATATATATATGCATGTATGTAGGTACAGTAGTGCAAAAAAAAATGCATTATAATTTATGTAGTGCAAAGAAGCAAGGTGAATATACAGTGAAGTAAGTAACTGAAAAATCAGATATTACAGTGTACAGTGTGATCAGCTGTTCAGCGTGGAAACAGCCACTGGGAAGAAGCTATTTCTCAGTCTGTTTGGGCGGGCGCGAAGGCACGGATAGCGCCTTCCAGATGGGAGGAGGGTAAATAGTCTGTGATTCGGGTGAGAGGCGTCTTTGATAATGCCGTTCGCCTGCAGGCAGCGTTTATTGTTGACCCTTTGAGTTTAACAGTGTTTAACGGTGTCCAATAAGGAATTGGTCTTTATTGCCAAGTTGCGTTCATGAATAAGGTCATTGAACTATTCCAGATAATCAAATTTGTTCCCCATGAGGCCCATTTCCCATTTTTGAGAACTTACACATTGTCACAACTCAAAACATTGTGCATTTACCTTGACAGAAAGCGAGGGCATTGCATCAAGTGCATCTTTCAAGCCAGAATCATACACTGTTTGGCTCATCTGCCATTTTTATTATGAAAAAAAAAAATATATATATATATATATATATATATATATATATATATATATATATATAGATAGATAACTTAGAAATAAGTTTTTCAGAAAACAGCATGGATAGGTGAAGACTGCAGAATGAGGCAAGACTGGTCAAAGTTTCTGTGGAGCAGGCAGGAATTGGATTGAAAAAACAGTTCTACTGTGCAGTCTGCTATAGCAACAGCCACTTGGTGTGATTTTCATTTTCAACGCTGCCCTTTCGCTTAATTCAGGAACTCCTTAGTAAAGGTTTCTCTCAGCTGTTTAGTGAATAGGTTTTGAGAAGAAACTCTTAAATACAAACTTTTAATGCTAGTTAGAAGAGCTTGTACTGGTAAGTTAAGATTCTTTGTGAGGATGGCCCCTGGTCTTCACCATTTCACCCCAGAATATTCATTTGAATCCCACTAAAGGTTTTTTTAATTTATTGACTTTTGAGAGAAATGCAGAACGTAATATCCCCATAGCAGAACTCAAGATTTTGTTGAAGCAGGTCATAACCATGTTGTTTTAGTGTAGGCATGACATTCAAGGTAATACAGGAAGCAGTTTCCTGTTAGGTGTCAGACTTTTCATGTCTTTGCATGTTTAGAGCTGTGCAGCGCTTGCTGTATTAGTGCCTGGATACTTAGAGTTTCACAATGCAGTATTACAAATTGCATGACATCAGTCAAACTCTGTTATTATGGTTTTATTCTCCATCACTTTTTGGGAAGCGTCATTGCTGATCTTTTTTAAAAGTTGTACAATAAATCCAGCAGTATAAACTTAATGACTACTGAATATTTAGCAGACTTTTCTAATTTAAGCAGGACATTTGTTCAGTGGGGTCACGTTTCTGAAAAACTCGACCTAATCCACTTTTTGAGTTTCTTCCCATTCCTAATGCAGATAATCTGATTTCACAGCTACTGATTATCTAGCTCAGGTGTGCAGAGAACTGGACTGGCTGTGTATTGCAGAGAATTGGAACAACTGCCTGTATTTTTGCACACCAAAAGCACTTCTCAGCAGCAACAGCAAATAATTGCACTGGAGCATTATTTTATGCACAGTTCACTGATAACCAGCAGTGTCCACTTAATAGCAACATTTGGTTTGTGAGTGCAGACCACGCCCTCAACTGAATGATATTGAGAGTGAGTGTGGAACTGTAAAAAAGTGGGTAGAACTCTGAGAACTTGGGCTGGACGTCTGGGCAGCTTTCTGCTATATGGACAGGCTTGCCATTAAAGATTCTTGGGTAGGCGTTGTTGAATAGTACGGAGGAGACAAAGAAGTGGCAGGTGCGGAAGCTTCGTCACTAGAGGAGAGAGACATAGGAATTTATAGGAAGTTAACTAGGTAGAAGGTGGCACTTCAGGTGTGGTGTTTCTCCCAAACTTCAGTTACTTAAACTCAATTTTGTGTATATATACCTTTGAATCCATTGATTCAAAGGTTTAAATTACCATGTTAGAATTAAATCTTGGAAAACATATCAAGGGTGAGGCATTTCCAGTGGTGCCAAGTTTGTGTTATTGTGCCTCATGCAACACTAATGTGTAATATTGTGCTTACAGTGATTGTCAAATTACTGTGTCACAACTCCTTTACCTTATCCAGTTATACCTCCATATGTAATGTCTCTAGTATGTTTTCTAGGAACTGTTATTAGACTGAGGTATTGCACTGTCCAGTATTCTGCTCTAAACTGTGTTTCACTTTAGTATTGTGTCTCCACTGTTCTGTCTACACTTTATATAACACAATACTGAGTATTTGTCAGCAGTTATGAATCCAGGAGCTAAATGATAAAGAGCATTAAGAGGAACAACAGTTCTAACAAATATCAGGATTGGCATTTTTTTGTTTTTGTTTTCAGGATCTGAAACCAGGCAACTTGGCAGTGAATCAAGACTGCGAGCTGAAGGTCAGTTACCTCTGGCTTTTTTGAGAAAATAGTGGTGGAAATGTGTTGAGGGTTTTGGATTGACTGATGTTCTTTGAGGACTTGACTGGGTGACGGTGTTAATGGGGTTGAGGGAGGTTTTAACAGTGTCTTGTATCTGTGGCCACAGATATTGGACTTTGGCCTGGCAAGGCATGCAGATCAAGAGATGACTGGTTATGTTGTGACAAGATGGTACCGAGCACCTGAGGTTATTTTAAATTGGATGCACTACAACCAGACAGGCAAGATAACACTCATTCCTTTTTCACATTGCCATACCTTCAAGGCTGGTTTACGATACACTGATTAAACTCAGTCCTAGACTCAAATTTGTTTTTATTGTAGAATCTCAACTGACTGTGTAATTTTGAGTTTGCTCCAAATTTAAAAATGTACTCTAATCCCATCATCTGATGGTAGAGTTATATTTATTGTGACTGTTGCCTGCTCTTTAGTGGACATCTGGTCAGTTGGGTGCATAATGGGAGAAATGTTCAACGGAAAGACACTCTTCAAAGGAAAAGACTGTATCCTTCAATAACCAGTTCTGTCAATATTAGTCCTTCATCTGGTAACAAGCATTTCTGCACATTTCAGCTCATTTCAGGAAATACTGTAGAGAGTTTTCTGGCATGTATCTTGCTTTTGAGCCTCCTGGAGTGGGACAAATGTTTCCTGTTGTTAAAACCAAAAGAAAGAAATTGAATTCATTGGATATAGCCTTAAATATATAACAATCTTTAATCTTTGAAAATCAGACATGGATCAGCTGGTTCAAATCATGAAGGTAACAGGGACGCCTGGCCCAGAATTCATCGAGAAACTAGAAAGCCAGGAGGTAAGAAAGTTTGTATACAGAGCCATTCAAGGTAAACCTGAACTTGGTTAATGGTTGTTGTAACATTAATACATTACACACATGCAACAACTGTTGCTTATACAACATATCACACTCAACATATATTAGTTCATTTTGTAAAATTTTGGCTATACATTCCTCATAAGGTAACACTTGATTTATTGAAGACATTGATCATTATCTTGTCCCTGCAGGCAAAGAACTATGTGAAATCGCTTCCCTTTTATCCTCGGAAAGATTTCTCTGCACTGTTTCCCCGGGCCAGTGAACAAGGTAAGAAGACAAAAAGCAAGAGGCCACATTTAATGGAGGTTTTTTGGTGTCGTGTCATATTGAAATGTAATTTAAACTACTGTAATTATTCACTGCACATTCCAAGAAAATGTACATGCTATAATTATTAATAAACTATTATTGTATTTTGATACTGTTTTTCACATACCATCACCGACTAATACCCACCACTTCCTATTGGGGAATTCCCTCTGCCATTTGAAAGAGCATACTCACACATAATTTCTTTAAATACAGACTCTGTGCTGTTATGATGGCAAAGGGAGGGTGTACAAAGCACTAAATGCAGGGATGCCGATAATTGTGACAAATGGTTTTGTTACTTTAATAGTTGTACCCCTGTTGTAACCAGTACCCCTGATCATTCGTGCAGTTATCCAATCAGCCAATGATATAGTAGCAGTACAATGCATAGAATCATGCAGATACAGCTTCAGTTAATATTCACATCAAGCATCATAATGGTGGGGGGATATGATCACACTTGGTTGTTGGTGCCAGATGGGTTGGTTTGGGTATTTTGGAAACTGCTAATCTCCTGGGATTTTCACGCACAAAAGTCTTTTAAAAATATATATATTCAGTGAGCAACAGTCCTGCAGGTGGAAATGCCTTGTTGATGTGTGAGGTCAGAGGAAAATGGCCAGATTTTTTTGAGCTGACAGGAAGGCTACAATAACTCAAATAACCACTCTTTACAATCATGGCGAGCAGAAAAGCATCTCAGAACAAGATGCCAAATCGCTAGTAAGCCAAAAATAGGAATCTGAGGCTACAGTTGACACAGGGTTGTCAAAGCTGGACAGTTAAAAATTAGAACATCACCACCTGGTTTGAATCTCTGCAGCAACATGCTGCAACATGCAGATGATGGGGTCAGAATTTGGCATCAACAGCATGAAGACGTGGACCCAACCTGCCTTTTGTTTGCAGTTCTGGCTACTGGTGGTGTAATGGTGTGGGGAATTGGGTGCCAGTTGAGCTTTGTTGAATGCCATAGCCTATCTAAATTGTGTCGTGGCCTAATGGTTAGAGAGTCAGACTTGTAACCTGAAGGTTGTGGGTTCGAGTCTCAATCTGGCAGGGATGGTGGGGGGAGTGAATGACCAGCGCTCTCTTCCACCCTCAATACCACGACTGAGGTGAGACCCTTGAGCAAGGCACCAAACCCCCACTGCTCCGGGTGTGTGTGTTCACTACTGTGTGTGCTTGGATGGGTTAAATGCAGAGCACAAATCCCAAGTATGGGTCATCATACTTGGCCACACGTCACTTCACTATACCACTATGACCAGCCTGAACTGTTGCCACAAGGCAGGTTGGGTCCATGCTGACGACATTTCTGACCCTGCCATCCGCATGTCACAGCATGAATCTTCAGCTGTTCAGTTTTGGTGAGTCTGTGCTCATGCTAGCCTCAGATTCCTGTTCTTGGTTGACATGAGTGGAACCTGACGTGGTCTTCTGCTTCCACCTCAAGGTTCGATGTGTTGTGTTGGACAGAGATTTATTTCAGATACCATAGCTTCTCTGTCAGCTCAAACCAGTTTGGTAATTCTCCTTGGATCTCTCTCATCAACAAGGCGTTTCTGCCCGCAATACTACTCCTCACTGGATGTTTTTTGATTTTCGCCCCACTTTGTGTAAATGCTAGAAATTGTTGTGCTTGAAAATCCCAGGAGATCAGCAGTCACTAAGATTTTCCCCCATTCTGATTAACTGAAGCTCTTGACGTCTTTCTGCATGATTTTATTTACATGACTTTATTCCAGGTGTGTTAAGAAAAAAATATATTGCTACTACACCCTTATTCATTTGAGCTGCAAGGGGCTACTTGTGTGATGTAGCTCCGGGATGAAAACTGTATTGGAATGCAGCGTGTTAGAGCTTGTCCAGGATTGGTGGGGTGACTTTGTGCTAGCTCAGTGAATAAACTACAAAATCTTACATGAGAATGGTCCATTACCTCATTGATTTTTATGTTTATTCTTGATCTATGGGATACTTTTGCCTTGTTTATCTAAACTAAACTGATATTTCTGTCAGCGGTGAACCTGCTGGAGAAGATGCTGGTTTTAGACACTGATACCCGTGTCACTGCTGATGGTGCACTGGCCCACAGTTACTTTGATGGCCTGAGAGATCCAGACGACTGTCCAGAGCCTAAGCCATATGATGACAGTTATGACAATGCCACGCTGCCTCTAGAGGAGTGGAAGAGTAAGTGCACAAATAAAATAGTAGAGTAAATTAAATATTAATGCCTGACAGTACAAGTACACTAATGTAAACATTACTTGATCTGATTTTGGCAGTTACCAGATTATTCAAGGGGTCATGTAAACAGCATGCTATGGTATCTTAAATCAAAGATCACCTCAGTTTTACACCATTAATCACCAATAATCACCATTAATGCATGTACTGTTAATCTAATACCATTTCCATTTTCTACATCTGAACATTTCTTTTCCTCAAAGAAACCTCAAAAACAAATACATGGCAGTAAAGGAAGCAGGAATTTTACATCACATCCTTCTTCTTCTGTGTTTTAATTGGTTTAGCATGCAAATCAGCTGTAGAGTTTTGTGCGTGATTTAGAAAGAAATCTGCATTATGGAAGAAAGAAAGTGCATGTGAAAGTGTTGGTCAAATTCTTACAAGAATATGATTTTTACAATTAAGGTTATTTTAAAAATCTATATGCACTCACCTGTTGTTGATCAGTGGCGTTGTAATGGTCTTATCTGCTGGATGTTTTCTGAACAGGATTGTCGTTTAAAGAAGTGAAGAGTTTTGTTCCATTTCCAAGAAGAGACTCGAAGAGGAGAAACACGTTGACAATGTCTCAGTGATGTTACACTATGTCACAACCATGCCTTTACGCAGAGGATTGGTGCAAAGGAATGGAGTGTACAAATGTTTACACATAAATCTATTACAAGTTATGACAATCCATGATGAGTCAGTAATGAATGTATCTTTGTTGTGTACCTGATAAGTGGGCTTAAGGATGTACTGCTGTTACAGTAGTGATTGCCTTTCATTCGTTGCCTTGATGCCTTTGTTTTAGGTTTGGAATTATATAAAGAGAGTTATTCGTTGGATATTACTTGGATTCTTTGATTCAGACCTGTAACATTGTGGCTTTTTGTGCTCAGGAGACAAAAACACACCTAGATACTATATATCATGAGTTGTACAGTTTTTCACTATTAAGGTCTCTAAATATTATTTTTAAGATTGAACAGAGCTAATTAAAATTGCAGTAGTGCCCATAAGTGTATATTGTAAAATATACCACAGCACTGTGCATCAGAACCAGCTCAATTACTTACTCTAGTCCCACACTGCTGTTTGGGAACTTAAACCCTTAGAACAACGTAAAGTTGACAAAGAGCTGAGGGAGTAAACCAGGAGAATGAATTGAATAACCAGTATAATTGAAGTTACCTTTACAAATTGTGTGTGTGTGTGTGTGTGTTGGGGGGGAGCAGATCCTCCCCAGCTATAGGTCAGAGGAAAGCAGTTAAAATTGATATGAAATATGACTGATTGCACAAGCCATCAGACTATAGTCTGCCCATTTGGAGGGACCATGTTTTGTGATATGGAGGCTTTTCTGTTACGTTGGAGTTTACTTTTAACTGATGACTTTCAGCACAGCAGGTATATGCAGTATGGTTACATACCTCCTACATAGCTGTATGTAATGGTCCTTTGCCAGGGTATGTTAAGAAATGATTGTGAATGTTGTTTATGGTGCATAGCTTTGTAAGATGCATTTGACAATGATAATGAACCCAGTACACATTATGACAATAAGTGATGTATTTTAATTACACATTTTTAAATAAATGCCTTAATTAAAAGACTACAAGTATTTGTCCCACAAACGTGCTTATATTGTTTTCATTATTGAATAGTATGTATAACTGTAGCTTCATATTTTTTTTTATTCTTTAGATAGTCTAATTGATATGGGTATTTAAGCTCTAAATTATCCCAGTGGCTTAAGTTTGTAATTATTTAAATGCACTCTGAAGCTCTTGCACTGCTTGTACTATGGAGGAAGCATTATGTATAAATAACAGTGTCATCTGTATACATGTGTAATTATGCTTGAATGTCGTTACCCAAGTCATTTATACAAATAGATAGATCCACAAATAAGGCAGCACAATGCTCGTTTCTGTCCAAGGCACCAATGAGACCATTTGTCAGAACTATAGCAGCAGTAATGGTACTGTGACAAGTTCTAAAACCAAATTGAAAATATTATCATCAAGTAAAAACTCTCTTAACTGCAAATTTACCTGGGATCCTACCTTAGCCAGGACTGAAGGTTTGGAAATTCGGACGATAGTTCTTCAACTCTGAGGGGTCTCCACCTTTAAATAAGGGATTTTAGGTATGGAGTCTGACAGAAGACTCAAATTAAAAATATGAGTAATGGGCTCAGCAATATCATCTACCGCCAGCTTTAAGACATAAGGATCCCATTTGTCTGGACTTGCAGACATTTTGTGGTCATTGTCTTTCAGAGCTTTAAAAACTTGAACAACCGGTTTCAAATCAAACAAATCCAGATTTCCATCAGTTTCAGTAGAGGCAAAACACCGATGCGCAGGGGTACAAGAGTTCCTGTTGAAGTGACTAGTGAGTGTATACATGCCCTATATACAGCTGAGTTTAAACGGTTTTATTCCCCATGAACTCTGAGTGAAAGTGGAAAAAGTACCTCTATTTTACAAGTGATCTACTCAGAAAAGGATTTCAATAGGTTAAAAATGAAGACCATAAACCAAACCATAAGGTAAAAATACTAAAAAAATAAATAAACTTTTTTAAAAAATGTAAAAAAAAATTTCCTCCATGACCCTCAGTCATTGTTTCTTGACATATCTGTTAACCTCTGCCAGAAAATGGGTAAAGATTGAACAGATGTCACAATTAATTATTTTATTAATATGGATAACTATTTGATTATTTTTGTTACTTGTGATAATAAAGGAACATCTGATCTAAACCTAATAGACTAAATGTAACATTTATTTGCCTTCTTCATTTTGTCTTAAGGGTGGCACAATGGCCCAGCAGGTAGCGCTGCCTCCTCGCAGCTGCAGGGTTTGATCCTGAGCTCGGGTTACTGCCTGTGCAGAGTTGTGCATGTTCTCCTCGTCTCCCAGAAACATGCTGGTAGGTGGATTGGCCATGCTAAATGTGTGAATGTAGACTTGCGTCCCATATCAGAGTGTATTCCTGCTTTGTGTCAAATGTTCCTGGGATAGACTCCAGATCCAACGTGACCGTGACCAGGATAAAGTGGTTCCTGAAGATGAATGGATGAATAAACTATTTGAATATTTTTTGCAGCTTGTGATAATGAAGGAACATGTGAGAAACCTAACACACTAAATGTGATGTATATATTTACGGCACAGTGGCACAACGGGTAGTGTTTCCACCTTACAACTCCAGGGCTCCTGGTTCGATCATGAGCTCGGGTTACCGTCTGTGTTGAGTTTAACATGTTCTTCCTTATGTCTGCATGGGTTTCCTCCAGGTTCTCCGGTTTCCACACACCTCCGAAACCATACTGGTAGGTGGACTGGCTACACTAAAGTGCCCTTAGGTTTGAATGAGTGTGTGAATGTGTGTGCGTATGATGTCCAGAGATGGACTGGTGTCCCATCAAAGATGTATTCCTGCCTCTCATGCCCAGTATTTCCAGGATAGACTTTGGATCCACCACAACGTTGACCAGGACGGAGCGCTTAATTAACATGAATGAATTTTGTTTTAAGGGTATGCAAAGTTTTTCACTCAATGGTACTTACTCTGTTCCCTAAATATGTTACACAGGATTCGAACTATTTTAAAATCATCCCTAAAGGCATTATCATATTCTCCTGCTTCTATAATTATCAGATAAAATAAGTGAAAGAAGTGTAAAACATAGAATTGTAATTATTCTCAGTGGATCTGAGGCTTGATTTTAAGTGATGTAGATATTTGTTTATCAAATAACTGTGTATTTTTCTTTTAAATAATTCTTGAAACCTGTTATATGAGAATGACACA